CTAGACAGCCCTCTCAAGGAGGAAGGGAGAAGCCAGACCTTCAGTAGTTTGGACTGAAGGAGGTGGTGAAGCACAGCTATAGCTCTTGAAACACTCACAGAGCTGGCAGGGCTGAAGTTACGTTAGTGGATAGGATTGCCCAGAGATAAGATGCAGGGAGAAGCAAGAAGGCAGCGAACAGCAGAGCTTTACAGGGTACCGCAGAAAGTTGATGAGGCTGCAAGAGCATCCCCTGAAGGATGTACCTCACTCTGAGTAATTAGGGGATGACAAATGACATGGGAAACAGAGAAGGACATTCTGATTCCATCATTAGTGTTGAAACATTTTCTTAAATGAAAAAAATTAGTTTAATGGACTATGAGGTAATTTGTTCTGCACGTGCTCTCCTCCCACAGCTCCGTGCCAGCAGGCAGTACCATCAGATATTCTCACATCGGTTTCACGGCAATTACAAAACACAGAATAACCTACAGAGACTGGTTACTTATTTTTAGCATTGCTGCTTAGATTGCTTAGAACTGCAGAACACGCTGAGTCTCATTGTGTCTAAGAGGGATTTAGCTACAGTTTAATCCCAAACCAGAACATCCAAGGTATACCCCTAATTTAGCACCATGAAATTTTCTCTCTGAGCCCTGTAATGCTCCCTTTTCATCCAAACTTTACAAGTTTTGTAAGAGCTTATCAACTGTTTTCAAGGTGCTGTGATTTTATAATTTGGAGAGCTTAGGTGCTTGGTATTTGTTAGTCATGGGCTTCTCTGAGCTAAATTTGCCTTACCACAAGGAATGCATGTACCCAGACGATTTCCTCCCACCTTTCCATCACACGCCTAGGCAGGCACCCAGTTTTGGGAGATGCTGAATTAGTCATGTGGCACTGCCCATGGCTATTGGGAAACAACTCGCACATCTGCTGTCTTGGCATCAGACAAAAAAATGCACTTACACATCTGAAACCCAGCTCTTAGGAACAGTAAAGGTGTGCATATTGTTTAAATCTAACCCCGGTTGTTGAGGCAGCTTTTGATTCTTCTCTCACTTGCACTGTGCTGTACAGCTGTGCTATTCCTTTGGCGGAAGAAATCCTTGCTCCCGACAGCAGCCCTTGCTACTATTGAAGTCAGAAGGGGAACATGCCATCTCCTTGGGCTAGAGTCTCAAGCGGTATAAATCAGCATAACTTCTGTCTCCACTATATTGGTGATATGCCAGTTCCCACTGGTTACAGATCTGCCCTTACAGGTTTGTAACTCATCTGCGCCGTAGTTTGCTGCTTTCCTGGATTAAGAGCGTGAAGATGGGAAGACTCTGGGAGGTGACAGGCACAGTTCGAGCAGCGCGTGGCATGGCTACGTTTACCTGGCAGTGCCAGACAAGCTGCAAGGTGCTAGAGAGCAACTGATGCCATCTGGGAGAAAAAATGTGCAGGAACATGCCAGCCTTCCGCTCTATCAGAAGTAAGGACTTGCACCTCTCCTCTACGACTGCCAGTGTTGGTAGACTTCAAAGCCTTCCCCTTTTTCTGAAGGGATCAGCAGTTTCTCAGCTCGAGGTGGCATGAGTAATCAAAGCTTTGTAAGCATGCCATAGCATTTACAGGGGATGTAACTCATACAGAAATAACAGATATATTTATGGATCTGATATTTTGAGCTTTGTGTAGCCCATAAGCAAAGAAAGAAGAGAATTAATGTAAAACCTCACCGATCTGACGTGACATGTTTTACAGTCAGAGCTCACTCTTCCCAAAAGCATAAATGACTCTACATGATATAGGAGAGTGAAGGAGTCAGATATAATTATCTACACTGTTACACAGGAGAGCTAAATAGCCTAAATCTTAATGAATTTCCTGTGGATGAAGCAAACTCTGTAGCTGGTTCTGAACAACTTGCTCCCTGCTTCAATGGCATTAGTAATATACCTTCTAATTTTAAAATATCGTGACATAGGACACTGAGGGCAGTTAATCCAGAACTGTGATCCCCAGTGTGTTGGCAGCATGTTTCCCTCAGAACCAACGCTTGCATTTTTTTCTCCCTGCTCACCTCATGCCAGCTCTTTGCCCTTGCCTCTCGTCCCCAGCAGTCCCTGCTTTTCTACGGCTGTGAGTACCAGCACGGACAAGAGAGAAAATGTTGCTCTTTCAGTAGTCCTTTTAGAGCACGCTTGCCCAATTCAAGCTGGCCAAGATGACTGACATTTATTAAGCACCATATTATGCTGGCCACCCCGCGATCCAATATGCACGTGAGTAACAGTGACTCCTTGCAGACTTCCCGCCTTCTTCGGAAGCAGCGACATGTGCAGTGAACAGAATTACTTCAGATGGTCCTGAAGAAAACTAAGCTGAATGAAAAGCGAAGACTCTTGTCCCGATCCCTTACGCTGATCTA